GTGTGTGTGTGTGTGTGTGTGTGTGTGTGTGTGTGTGTGTGTGTGTGAGAGAGAGAGAGAGAGCGAGAGAGAGAGAGACAGACACAGAAAAAGAGAAAGAGAGTGTGTGAGTGTGTCTGTGTTGGGTGTGTGTGTTGGTGGAGAGTGTTTTATCTTCTACCTCCTTTCTAAACACTAGATTTTAATATTCTCTCCAACCTCGCTTGCTTACTAGACACAGAGCAATAAGCCAATATGAAAAAAAGATACTCATTTTAGATGCTTGGCTATTAGAACCCTCTGGGTAAAAAAATAATTGAAAAAAAAAACATTTATAGGAAGCCAGATTATGATACTTAGAGTCATATTAAATAGTCTGTCTATATAATAAAGTGCTAAAGATTTAAAAACAGATTGCCTGATTCAAATACTACCTTTACCAATTTATGTGACATTGATTTTAATTTCTCTGAATACCAGTTCTTTTCTTTTTTAAAGTTGAAGTGATGGTGAGGAATAGCCCTTAACTTCCGGCAGCATGTTTCCAAAACTGTCAACCACTAAGCTCTCCGGGTGTTATTAAAAACTCAGAATCCCTGATTGCTCTCAGATCTACTGAACCAAACCACGGGAGAGGGTCCGACTTCCATTCAAGTCGGTACTTTTGCACATTCAAGTTTGAGATCCACTGATAGCAGTCTGTTGAAGGATTAAATGGGATGAATCCTGTGAGTGCTTAGCACTGCATTGGTATATAACACTCACTCACTAAGAGTAAGGAAGAGTGATTCTGATGCCTGGGGTTACAGCAAAGGGAGTTGACAGAGTAGCCTTCATGGCCTGTACCACCGAGCTACTGTGACCTGTGCCATAGGCCTTCCTGGCAGAGCAGACACTATGCCTGATGATCAGGAACCTGCTGTGTGGACAGCACCACTGTCTTACCTTCATATTCATTCTCCTTTTCTAGATGCCAAGCAGGCATCTCTTTACCCCCATATCTACCATGTTATTAGGCTTGCATTTCTTCACCACCAAATCATTTCTTCCTTAGATCTGCTTTCCAGGTGATGTTCTTCCAGTCTGACCAGCCTGCTCTTCAGGTGACTGTGAAAGATAGCTAAAGTCATCCATAGTTTTGATCCTGAGAAGGTTCCAATTAATTCTCCTTCACGGGCCTTTCCTGTCTGTCACTGGCTGCTGCCATTTCCATTTCTTTGAATAGGGTGGGATTATGTCCATTTTTCAGACAAGAAGGCTGATACTCAGAGATGTTAAGAAACTAGCCCAAGTACATGGTTTCTGAGTGCTAGAATTGAGCTTTAATCTAGGATTTCTGATTCCAAGTCCAGTGTTCTCTTGTATTGAAACACAGGAATTTGACCAAAGTAATCGCTGGAGCGATTACTCTTTAAAAAGACATGGGTTTTATTAGAATTTTGCTAAATCATTCAGAAATGATGATGATTAATTGTTATCTGAATAATAGGAGGGTAAGTCTCTTTAACTTTGAAGGCAGAGCAAATGGTAACTTTTCTGTCAAGGCACTTCAGAAACCTTGTGGTGGAAGGCCATGTTGCTTGGTCCACAGGACACATCCAGGGCCCCAAGATGGCTGACACCAGCCATGTGTTCAGCCAGCAGTCAGGCTCTCTGAGTGCAGCTGGCCCTCTGAGCACCTGTCTGTCATCCCCTTGTCACACATATCTCCTCTCCACACCTTGAGAAACTACTGGAGCAACACTTCCCTCAGTGGACTTGCTGAGGCTCATCACAGTGCCTCTGTGGAAGGTGCAAAAAGCACCGGACCCTGACTGCTTGGGAATCAAGGGAGCGTAGCAGGATGCAGATGAAAGGAGAGTGAGCTAACCCTGAGTCTGGAGCAAGAGCCACCTGTCTAAGAGGATGTCGATCAAGCTTGTTTCCCCTGTAGGGAAGCAGCCGGTCAGCACCTATGAAATCAGCATAGGTCTATGACTGGGCCTTGGTTAAGGCCACCCCTCCATGCTACTTCCATACCTGATCACCCCTCTGTCATAGATTTTGTCACACCCACTCTCTCAGTCACTGTCTTTAAAGGTCTCTGTTATCCCTACTAGGTAGTGAACTCTTCCAGGGAGAGACTCTGGTTTTTAATTGTTGTTTGTTTGAAACAGGTGGTCACTGTCACCCAGGCTGGAATGCAGTGGCCGGATCACAGCTCACCAAAGCCTCAAACTCCTGTGCTCAAGTGATCTTCCCACTATGGTCTCCCAAGTACCTGGGAGTATAGGCGTGTGCCACCACGTCCAGCTAGTTTTTCATATTTTTGTAGAGATGGGGTCTCACGGTGTTGCCCAGGATGGTTTTGAACTCCTGGGCTCAAGGAATCCTCCCACCTCAGCCTCCCAAAGTGCTGAGATTACAGGCGTGACCCACCACACCTGGCTGAGACTCTGTTTTAGGTAACTCTGTATTCCACTATGCTTGACCCAAAACAGGTGTGCATAAAATGTTTAAATGTTTTCAGAAAAAATAAATGAGTATATAAAATGAATTGTTACTTGACTTCAATAGGCTTTTACTTCTTCTTCTTTTTTTTTTTTTGAGATGGAATCTCACTCTGTTGCCCAGGCTGGAGTGCAATGGCGAGATCTTGGCTCACTGCAACCTCTGCCTCCCAGGTTCAAGTGATTCTCCTGCCTCAGCCTCCCAAGTAGCTGGAATTACAGACGCCCACCACCACACCCAGCTAATTTTCTGTATTTTTAGTAGAGATGGGATTTCACCATGTTGGTCAGGCTGGTCTCAAACTCCTGACCTCAGGTGATCCACCTGCCTTAGCCTCACAAAGTGCTGAGATTACACGTGTGAGCCACTGTGCCCAGCTGGATTTTGCTTTTCAGATACTTGCAGCAGGCAGCTCTATTAAGATGGCCCCAACGTGGTAGTTATGCTATGGGGTAGGACATCAACCCTCCTGACCTACATTTTGGTTCTGACCAGAATGAAGTCAGTGCATTGGCTAAGCTGTGAAGATGGAGATGTTGCAATGGTAGAAAGAGATCCAAAACCAAGAATTCTGGTTAGGTAATATTTTGGAGAGATCATCCTGTCCATGGACAAAGGAGTTGGCTTGTACTTTGTGTTTTCCTAGGAAGGACACAGACCAGTGGGTGTTATTGGGGATTGCTATGATGTACAGACCAGAGCACCCTCCCTGATCTATACAGGGAGGTTTAAGTAACCCTGTCAAACTAGCAAAATGGCTAATTCAGAAGAATTAAGTTCTTCAACACTGAACATAATTAAGCAGAGGGCATCCAACCATCAGATAATAAGCATCTCTACATGGGGTGGTGCATGATTAGGTTACCTTGAAGGTGACATTCCTCTCTCTAGGACCCTCTGACTTCAGTCTGTCTATGGTACTATCATTTATTTTCTAACCCTGTTGTTTATTTAAGGTGTGAATTTAACTGTCTATCCCAGTGGATTTAGTCCATTTTCAGGAGTGAACATTTAGGCAGAGAGATCAGGTTAATTCAATACAGTGATCAATTAGTGTGTTAGAAGTTTGTTTGGGCTGAATCAGATTGTACATGGCTATGCAGACATGACTTTCTGGCTCTGATTAACCAGACACCAATCTTTTCTCTAGGCAGATTCTCTGAAGCCAGGTCTGATTTGCTCTTTTAAACAATTGACTGGAAGAGGAAAATTGCTAAGTGGAGAGGCCAAGATGAAGTGCCTGCCACCAGGATTTCCAAAGCTCAGAATTTCCAGCCAAGCGCCAGACTCAGGGAAGGCCTTTAAGAAACTCAGTTGTAGCTAATTTTGGTATAAATTCATCATCTTGGATTAATGCATCCATTTAAACGTTCAAGAAAAAAATGTTAAGGAGTTTTCTGATTACGCAGAATTAGACCATGAAGTATTTGTATAACTCCATCTTCTCACGGCATCTAGTCTTGTATCATTTTCCAGGACAAGATGGCAACCTATGCCTGCTGCATTTTTACACATTTTGCAAAAATTGTAAATCTCATAAAATTGTGGTCACCATCATGTTTTTCTTGTCTTAGACGAGCGAAGGAGATTGTGCTGAAGTTCGAAGGGAGGCTGACCAGGACCCGAGGCTACCAAGCAGCAGGTGCAGAGGTAAAGAACACACATGTGAGCTCCGCCACTCCTTCCTGTGGTCTCCAGAACCGGGAGGTTGTGTCGGCCATTGCACCTGTCATCATACATAGGTTGCAAGCGCCAGTCTATAATACAGCTGTAGATCAGGATGATAGAGTTGAAAACTATGAGTTTCCCAAGACTTGAATTTTAGTCTTAGATGCCTTCCCTCCCAATTGTGTGAAACTGGGTAAGCCTAATTGGTCAGGGGAAAGGATGTCTTCCCTGGCAAAAGTGATCTAGCATCTCTCCTGAGTTAATCCCACCATATTTGTAGGTTTGGTTCACTGTGTCTTAGTCCCAGCTGTGTTTCTTAGAATGAGAAAGTTGCAGGCATATGACAATGCTTATTTTATAATAGTGTTAAGGTTTTTGTTTGTTATTTTTCCCATTCAGTTACTGAAAGAAAAAGTATACATCAGAATTATAAACAAATAAAAGTTATCTGTTTATAAAGTCATTTCATAAGTGTGTAGAAAACAAAGAAAAATAACAACTCCTTCTATACCCTCTACTCCCCAAAATAATATCGTTTTAGAAATTTCACAAGTCATTGCATACATATATTATTTTCACACCATAGTAATTGGAGTGTACACGCATTTTTGTCTTGCTTCTTTTTTCATATAACATCATTATACAATTTTTTCCATGTTGCTATATAGTTTTCATATTTAACGGTTTTCAATAACTGTGTGGCATTCCATCAGACAAATGTATATTAATTTAATTAGTCATTTGGCTGCTGGTGGATATTTAATTGCTTCTAATTTTTCATTATTATTAATAGCCTTACGAAGAACATCTTTGCACATATAGATTTTTCTATCTTTTAGAATTTCTTTCTTAGCCAGAACTGCAATCACTATAGAAAAGACTGTGGTCCATTTTTTTGGCTTTTGATAAATATTTAAAGATTATTTTCAAAAAGCCTTGATTATTTTTGTTGCCATTATTGGTCTCATAATACCTGCATCAATGTTTATTATATTTTGTGTTTGTTATCTTGAGAGACAATAACTGATGTATATACTCTTAGATTCTCTGAAACAAAAATATTCTTAATACAGTTTAAATTGGAAACCACACTGCCACGTGTGAACCCATGCAACAATCTTACATGTTCTTGACATGTATCCTAAAACCTAAGATGCAATTAAAAAAATAAATAAATAAAAATACAGTTTAAATTAAAGCTGGTCCTAAATTTTACACATCTGAAAAATTGTAAAATATCAAAGAATCCCAAAGGACACATCTTGGCATTCTTAGTTCTTACTCTTCATAAAATCTTCTTTAAAATTCTAATCTGTTTTTATGACCAAAACACACATGACTCTTCATTCCCGTCACACTATGATGGAGTTTATGAAATAAATTATCTTTTTATAGATATATGAACTACCAAAGTCTTTTGTTTTCTCTAAATAAGATGAAATGCTATAGGAAATAAAGTATTTCACTTGAATTCAAATGACCTATAATATATATAAATAACAATGGAAAGTTGTTGGAACTTTTAGCAATAGTAAACTCCATATAAATTAAAGGTATAATTTGATAATGGACCGAATTATTAGAAGCAGAGTTTTTAGACTGAGGAAGGTAATTCAAAGTTTTGTCTCATTACTCTCTCCTCCATTCTCTTCTGTAAAACGTTCAGCTTGTGCTGACTTTTCTCCCCTTCTAGAGAGCTACTCTTCCCATTTCCTTCTCATTCAAGTCTCAGCTCAAGTATGACCTCCCCAGCTAGACGTTCCCTGACCTTGTTTGAAGGGCCTTCTCCCCTAGTCCTAATAGACTGTGTCCCATTGTGGCATGGACTTGGTTGTGGCTGCCTTGCCTCTACCTGAACGCAAACTTCACACCAGGTAACACCTTGCATGTCTTGTTCACTATCTGCATTCACAGGAAAACACAGCCTAGGTGCTTAATACATGCTATGAACATAATACATGCATTCATGAACTGTCATACATATTGTTAGATCTGTCTGAGACATACATATGCATATATATATAATGATATATGCATATATCACATATCTAACAACACGTATGTTAGTCGATGTTGACATGTTGATAGGTCAGCACAATCTAGGTGTTTAATACAAACTATGAATATACTTTTCATGAACTATCATATATATTGTTAGATTTCTTCCAGGTGGACATGTAAATCTTTCCAAAAAAAGAACTTAGTTACCAAAGCTCAATAACCCAAACCAACAATTAGGATCTATTTCTTCCAAATTTAGTTTTTCTTTGTTTGGATTTTGCTTTGCTCTTAGAGTTTGAATTATTACTGTTTCAAGGCTTTTACCACGGAGATTTGGTATAAATCATCAGAGAAGCATGAAATTTTATTTCCCCACGGCTTACTGAATATGTCATCAACAAATCACCTTTTCCATCACATTGTCCTCTAAGAAGTTCCTTTAGGCCAACTTGCATAGAGTCGCATTCCCAGAGCGAGTATCTGGGCCATTCAATCCAGCGCTCCCTAACCTGAGTTCAGGGGCCCTGGCTCCTCAAGCACTAGAGTCAGGGTGGTGGGGGAGACTTTTTGCCCCCACCTACAAAGGCTGCTCTGCCTTAGCCTGTTGCATGTATGAAAATTCCCACACAATTTTAAATTTAAAGAGCACTCTGAATGCCATGACTTGAATCTTACTTCTTATACAGATGGAGAAATGGAATCCCAAGGAAAGAAAATAACTTCCCCAGGGACACATAGTGAGATAGATGTGAAAGTAGAGCTAGAACTCAGGTCTCTGGCTTTCTGCCCCAAGCTTCTTAGACTTCAGGGGTTTAAAATGGGCCAGAGACTCAAATGCTTTCCAACACCAAACCCTTGCCAAAGGATGATGGAGCACCCCTTCCTCTGGATGCTGGGGTATAAAAGATCCGAAAGCCTCCATCTCCCACTCTATGCTCTAGGAGACAAGCCAGGTGAACAAAATTAAGGTAATGTAAGGTAGGATATGATAAACATTATGAGAGAGACCAAAATATATTGTCAGGGGAGTTTATTAATAGGACAATTTCTTTGCTGGCTACGGAGAATCTGTGTTCATGGGAGTGGCTGTATTTGAGTTGGCTTTCAAATCATGAACAGAAGATGAACAATTCCAACTGCTGATAAAATTCAGATTTTCATTTACAAGCAGCTATGCTAGCCTTAGCAGACACGTCCAGAATGACATTATCATACATGCCCGTACCGGGACTGTGTGCGGTCTTATAGTTCAGAATGTCATAATTACATTTGCAATCTCTCTTTCTGCAATGATATCATTTGCTTCCAGCACAGACCCAGATGGTTTGTGTGTTAAAATGCACAACCTGCCAACTTTGTTGGAAGCAGAATTAGTGCCAGGGCATGTCTTGCTTGATTCCCCTTTGAGAAATGTTTTTCAAACTTTTGGCAATTGCATCTTAAAAACATAAGACAAATTTCCAGACCTTATCCCCAGTAGCTCTATCCAGGAAAGAGGCTGGGAGGCGAGCTCTGTAGCAGGAGGTGAGTCCCACAATAGAGTGGGATTCATTTTCAGGGTAAGCTCTAGACTCTTTGTCCTTAAACAGGGATGCACTTGTAATCACCTGGGGGAGTTTTTTAGGCATGTGGATTCCCTGTCTGCATGCTCAGAATCCCCACAGGTTTATGGCAGGATCAAATGGGTTTATTTAGATATCAGTCCTTGAGTAATTTCTACTGTGTCTTGTGGTTTTAAGACGCAATTGCCAAAAGTTAAAAACAAAAAATTATTTCTCAAAGATCAAGAGATAACCTGCATCAGGAATGGGACGAATAATGCAAACTGCAGCCCTGTAGAATATGCACCTCAAACAGACACCATGGCTTAGATGCATTTCTATTCTATAGGGCTGCAGCTGGCATTACTCATCCAAAGCAGGTATCCATTCACCTGGTCAGGAGCACAGAGAAGACAAGGGGGCTACTTTGGTTCTAGTGCAGCTTAAAGGCCTGTGAAGCCATAAGCCAAATTAAAGTACCAAAGGGAATGTCTGGTATACTCCATTTTTGGTGCCTAGTACTGCACAGCCATTGCCGTCTTCAAGAATGTGACGTCTCTAACCCTGACCCCTCTTGTCTAGCTCTGGCGGAAATTTGCTCGTCTCGCCTGCAACTTTGTGGTCACCTTCATTCCCTGGGAAATGAGGATAAAGAAAATCGAGAGTAAGTATTTACACTTGGAGAATGGGGCAGGAATGCAGTGCTAGTGGCCAATCACAGCCTAAGGAGAGTCTGCTGTGTTCTGGTCCTTATGCTGTGCAGCTGAGGGCACTTCTCATAGCAGGGTCATCTTATAGCAGGGTACTCGAATAGCAGGCTCCACGTGGGACAACAGATACGGAAGACAAGATACCTGTCCCCACTGCCTGCCAGGATGGAAACAGTCTCAACGTGGGGATTTCCACATTCTGCTGTGGCTCTGCTGTTCTCTCCCAGTTCATTCCTTCAGTCAGATATAATGCAAGCCCCAAAAGGATCAAGTGAAAACCTACGAGGATGAATAAGAGGGTAGCTAAGGGAACTGCAAAACACAAATACAAAAATCTGGATTTTCATAGAGATGATTGTGCCCATTTACAAAACATATGCCAAAAAATAAATAAATCATGTCTATGATCACATTGATATGCACAATACCTGGAATAGACTTAACAATAAGTCCAAAATAAAGGAAACTGTAAAATTATGCCACAGGATATAAAAGTCTTGTGAAAACACATATGAAGACTTAATATTTGGAAGATGTTAATTTTCCCAAAACTGATTTACAAGTTTGATGCAATCAAATAAAAATCTTAATGTATTGTTTCCAAGTATTTAACAAAATGATCATAAAACTCATATGGAAGAAAAATATCCAAGAGACGAATAAAAAAATTTTAAGGAAGCATGCAAATGAAGTTGCATGACCAAGATATTAAAATACATCATAAAGCTACAACAACTGAAGCAGTATAACACGGTGTGGGAAATGACTGGCAAATCAAAGGAATAAGCAAAAAATTCAGGAACCGATAGGAATACACATAGACCTTTAGCATACAATAATTATTGAAGTCAGTCTAAATTACTGCATAAATATTGCTGGAACAATTGATTCAATTGTTTTAAAGAGTAAGTTTAATTCCTTCACTTAAAATTCCATTATATATTTGAATAGACAATAAGAAACCATAAAGTGATTAAAGAAAATATAGGCGGTGTGATTGCAGAATGGAGACATATATAATCATAAAAGTGAAGGAGGAAAAAGTACTGTTATATGCAATTACTTAAAAAAAGAAAATTTATGTACACAAAAAATAAAGCTAAAAGTTAGATGACAAATTGGGAAAAACATGTTGAATATTTAAATGAATGAAGCAATCTGATATGTTAACAGAAATGTAAATTAGGACAGTGTTTCTTTTTAAAAAAAGTTTTCATATGTACCAAAAGTCTTCAGAATGTTATATACTTTGGTAATATGCTTCCATTTCCTAAAAAAACAGAGAAAACCATAATAACCTAAACAAACAAGGCTGGAGTAGCTGCCATTAGTGCTGTACCCAGGTTGCCTTTCCTTGACTGGTCTACCCTTTCCTCAGCTACTGAGTATGGACTGCTTGTCACTCAGCTGCTCCCCTTCAAAGAATTGCCCCAGGACTACCTCCTGTCACCCCAATACCCCACTCATCACCTAGAACTTACAGGCAGTGACTATTGACAGAGGGGCATTCAAGTCTGATCCCTTGCTCCAAGTGGGACCAACTCAGTGGTACAATTCATGCTGTGGAGCTCCTGGTGGTATAGACTCAGCTAGACTGCAGCTAAGATCATGCCCATCCCCGGCTCTGTCCCAAACCTTCCCTGACTCCTTCACAACTTCTCTACAGAGAGTGCTTCCTTGACAAATCACCTGTTGCCAAATCCCTTTCTCAAGCTCTGCTTCTAGGAAACCTTACCTTAGACAGAAATTATTTATGATAGAACTATCCACCCATTTTTTATAGAATAGAACATGTTATTTATTATAGAACAGGTGGGAATGTCCTAAATGTCAAGTTGTGGGGAAGAGTTTAAATACGTTATGAAAAATTCACTTGATGGAACAACAAAATGTATTTTATAGAAGAGTATTTTTGGCAAAAGAAAATGTTTGTAATATATTGGTAATTGAAGATGTATGCTGGAGAGAAATGCCAATCTTACACAAAAACATATTTGTATAAAACATTATTTGTGAAGGGTTACACTAAAAGTCTAATAGAAACTAATTCTAACCATGATTTTAATTTAGTGATCTCAGAATAGGTAATTTTTCTTGTCCTTGTGATGTTTTGTGTTTTGCTACTCATTATGACAAACACAAACTAGATTTGAAATAAAAATTTAAGAATTTTTTTTAAGTACGACATAAAACCACCTACTCCAGAATGTTGTCAAATTGTCACTTAGATACATCCTCATCTAAGTTCTTTTATGCTCCTCAATTTTCTCAATAGATATAAATTTGTTTTTATTATGGTTTTTATTTTAGAGTAAGTTTAGATGTATAGAAAAGTTGGAAAGAGTTCCAGTGTACCCTTCACTCAGTGTTCACTATTGTTAACATCTAGCAAATTGTGTTTTATCTTGAATTAAGGCAAAAAGACCCTTAGCAAAATCCTTGAAATTCTCAAAATGATGCGAAATAGAAAAGAAACATGCCAAATTCTTAAAAGATGCTGTTACTTGTTAACATACATGAAATATTGAAATTTGATAAGACCATTTCAGATGAATATGTCATTAGGGACGGGACTAACAAATAGCATTTTAGACAAACTAGAGATTTTACCTGCCTGTAGAACTGGTAGATATTCAGGGGCATCTTGATCTATCTAAGCGAACACTTAGGAAGGAACACCCTGATTGGTACAATAATGGCATTCTTACTCTAGGTCCTGTGGATGTAAGAAAAATTATGGTGTTCTTTTTGTAGGATTACTTGCACTATGAGGATTTTATTTAAACTGTTCTCATTATCTTGTCCTTCTTTAGGTCATTTTGGATCTGGTGTTGCCTCCTATTTCATATTCTTGAGATGGTTATTTGGAATTAATATTGTGCTCACCATTATGACAGGTGCTTTTATTGTCATTCCAGAGGTAAGATGTTTCAGGAGAGAAAAAAGTACCACTCATTTAAAAAAAAAAAAAAAAAGGAGATATTACAGCAGTCACATAAAATGGCTCCTCTGGTTATCGCTGTGGGGAGGAAAATACATGTGTTTGGGTAACGCAGGCTTGGCAAACTTTTTCTGTAAAGGGCCACAGAATAAATACTTTAGGCTTCGTGGGCTATTTGGTGTTTGTCACAATGACTCAAATCTGCCGTGTGGTACAAAAGCAGCCACAGACAGTCTATCAAGCAGTGAATGTGGCTGTGTTTCAATAAAATTGTATTTATGAATACTGAAATTTGAATTTTATATAAATTCTTTTGATTTTTTTTTCCCCAATCACTTAAAAATGGAAAACCATTCTTAGCCCTTGGGCCACAAAAAAAGGCCACAGCCTGGATTTGGCCAACCAGCCAGTTTGCCAGCCCAAAGTTGAAATAATATCCAGACCATGTACATTATTCAGGTGATGGGTTCACTAAAGCCCAGACTTCACCATAATGTGATACATCCATGTAACAAAACCGCACTCGTGCCCCTTAAATTTATACAAATTAAAGAAATAAAATCCATTTTTCAACTAAACTTCATCCTCAAAAAGTACATGAAACATTTCCAAACAGAGTCCTTAATAATCCACCCATAGAAACCATGTCTACCTCAGCGAGACTACACACAGGTGAGCTCTAATCAGCCAAAAAGAAAATCCGTCCACCCAAGATTAATTTTTCATCAATGAGAATCAAGCAGAAATCCACTCGCTGGAGATGTCTTACGTGTGACATTTTCACAAGCACATGGAGATCAACCTCTCATTTTCTCCTGGTCCCCTTCCACTCAGAGGACCACATGAAACACTTTCCTCTCTCACCAGCTGATTGCAGGCCAGCCCTTTGGAAGCACAGCCAGGAAGACCATCCCCAAGGAGCAGGTTTCGTCTGCCCAAGACCTGGACACCGTCTGGTCTCTGGGGGTGAGATTGATGCTTGCTCACACTCTTGTCTTGAGGGAAGGGGTGAATGGGCCACAGTTCTGAGACCTCGGAACCAGAAATGACACTGAGTGTTTTCTTTGCAGGGCTACCTCCAGTATTCAGTCCTCTTCTACGGGTATTACGGCAGGGAGAGAAAGATCGGGAGAGCTGGCTACCGGCTGCCCTTGGCATATTTCCTAGTGGGGATGGCAGTGTTTGCTTACAGCTTCATCATTCTTTTAAAAAAGTATGACTGCTTGGTTTCCCAAAATACATATCAAGCGTTATGATATGTGTAATGTCATCTAATCTTGTCAATAGCCCTGTAAAGTTAAGGCATAGCTGTATCCATTTTACAGATAAGATCAAGGCTAAAAGAGGCATGTTGATTTTAACAAGCACTTACTGAACACTTACTGCTTTATACTAGGTCTTATGTTGGGTCTGGAAATACAAGAATCATATAGATTTACCAGTTTATGTAATTTTAGACAATGCAGTACCTGCACTAATATGGACATAAGCAATATGATCTGGTGACCAGAGGTTGCAAAAAGCAAAATGTCCTCCCTTGGTTGTATATTTGTTTGCCTGGGACCTGGGAGCTATCTACAAATTCTGCAAAGGCCAGGCTTGTCCATGCTGTGATGCAGTTAGCACCTCTAGGGCATCACTGGAGGAGGCAAAATGCAAAAGAAGAAATCTGGTGGGGGTTAGGAGCCCTGTACCACCCTCACTGTGAGACCTGCAGGAACTCACCTTCCTTCCCTGGGCCTGATCTGTAAAATGGGCAGGTTGGCTCAGGACATCACCAGGTTTCCTTCCAGCTTACCATTCCAAGCCTCCGTGTAGGAGCTAGAGAAATGCAGACTGACTGGAGGCTCCAAGCCCCAGGGAAAAGCTGGCCCCACCCACGCTGGTTCTCCTGCTGCTTCTGCTTGATTTGTGTTACCACCCTTCACCACCCTACCCCCTTGTGGCATGTTAGCAAAATGCAGATAGAAGCGCTTGGGGTAAACAAGACGATAAACAAATAAACAAAAATTGAGGAGGTGCGTAATGACCTGGGGGCCTTCAGTTGCCCCGAAGCTTTCCAGCTTATCTCCTGGTGACTTCCAGGACCCAGTGGAAGACTCGGGCCCTTTACTAGACATAACAATGTAAGACACAGATTAAAGCAAAATTGGAAATAAGAAATATGGATGGAGAGGAGAGCTTATTACAGGAGAAATGCTCTAAAAAGTAGGCAGAGTTTCACCTGAGGAGGGATCACGACTCCTGCCTTCAAATATCTAAAGGAATGTGTGAAAGAGGGACCCAGCACGTTATGTGGAGTCCCAAGGGGTAGAGTTCCCATGGGAAGGAGCTCCAAGAAGACTGGTTCAAAGGAAAGAATTTTATTTCACAATTGCAGCTGCAGAGATGAGAATAGCTCCTGGGGGACACACACCTGTAGTGACCTGCTGGGCACCACAGTGGTGGGACTCCTTATCAAATGAACTCACACAATAATGGGCCATCACAGTTTTCACACTGTTGGCAAGTGTTGCAGAGGTCACAAGCATAAGCTGAAATCCAGTCCCTGCTGTGCTGGCCAAGCGGTGAACCGAGAAGCTGCGTCCATCCAGAGGGGAGCAGCCTATTCTAATTCACACAAGGGCTCCGTGGGTGCTTGCTACAGCCTCCTATTCCTGAGACTCCTATGACCTGTTTGTGCTCCTCTTTCGCAGGATGGCTAAGAACTCCCGCACAAGCCTTGCCAGTGCTTCCAATGAAAACTACACCTTCTGCTGGCGGGTGTTCTGTGCCTGGGATTACCTCATTGGAAACCCAGAGGCTGCAGAAAGCAAAACAGCTGCCATTGTGAACAGCATCAGGGTGAGTGAACGAGCCTGTGCAGGCTGCAAGGGTGGGCAGCGCAGGGTCAGAGCCAGCTGCTGGCCCTCAGCTGGAAGCCAGAACTATCCTCTTCCCATTGATGTTCACTGTCCAGGGCAGCTGTTTCCAAAGTAAGGTGGACATGCTCCAGGAAATGTACCAAAAGACTCAGTGAAGGGAGGGATAAACATTTTGAAACTTCTTTTTAAATTTTTCTATTTTATCCTTTTAAAATTTCAGTATATTTAAAATTTTGTATATTTTAGATAATTTACATAATGGATTGTTACCATGTTTCATGTATATAACCTGAAAATGAATTAATACATATATGTGAGGGATATAGACTTTTACTTTTAACTTAGAAAACAATGCAATCAGAAATATTCAGAGACTTAGCTCTACTGAACTATACAGTTAAATGGTGCACTCTTTTGAGGAAAAAAAAATCTATGTAGATAATTTAAATTATTACAGCCACACTATCTCTGATCCCTCTTCCCAACCCCCAATATCCTTTTTCAACTGATTATTAGATAACTGATATCTAATTCATTTATATCAATTGAATCCTACAGAATAAAGTCTTAGACATTGAAGGTATGAGCTGAATTGCTGGGTAAATCGTTTCTAATGATTTAAAATTGATGATGCTAAGCTTTTATTGCTGTATGTATTTTTCCTTAAAGGAGGCAATACTGGAAGAACAGGAGAAAAAGAAAAGCAAAAACCTGTAGGTATTAACACTCCCCATGTCGAATTCATTGATAAGATTTGTTTTTAGTTTGGTACAAAAACTACCATAACATCTACATCTTATTTTCACGATTGTCAGGCAGCATTTCTTTCTTCCCTTCTCATAATGTGATCTGAGGGAACTGAATGATTTTTCCATAGCAATATTTAGGACGACTTCCTCCTTCCATAGATCCTGCAACAAGGGTGAGAGGGTCTGAAATTGACCAGTTTCTTATTTCTTACTCTTTTACTTAGATAATAAAAGAGGAATTTTGAGGACCAACTTATGCTGTTAAGAGTAGTTTTATTTAGAAACAAGTCATAAGACACAAATATTATCTAGTTGGTGTTCACAAGCCTTTCAAGATGATTTCCTAGGTTCAAGATTCTTCTCGAGATCTTGAGAGCTATGGTGGTGAGGGCGAGGCCCTTCAACCAGAGAACTAATGAAAGGGAAAGCCATTCCCAGGGAGGGGCTATGGCTCTGACCTCCTGGAGACAGGCAGGTCTGCACATCCCACATCTTACTGGTTATTTAGCCCTCATGATTAGTTTCTACAGTGCAGAAAGCCCGTTCAGAGATTTGTAGAAAAGGACATGGGAAATTCGGGATACACACCCAGCCTCTGGAATAATGAGGGAACTTAGGGAGGTGGGAAGGAGTTGGGAAGGGTTGTCCATAGGGAGTGAGAAGACACAGATTCTAGTCCTGTCTTTGTCATTGATGTTAATGACCTCCTGAACCTGAAGTTCTTCACCTATAAAATAAAAATATGGGATTCTGCCCCCGATTCTTTCTCTGTAGCTCTCCTCCACCAGAGTTGGTAATAATAATAATGTAATATGCCGTGTTGTTATTTTTACCAAGGAAGGTAACATTTATCATCTCATTTGGGAATGTTTCCTCATTGTGCAAATGAAGGGCCAAAACGTGTAAACGGAAGTGTTGTGAGCTGCCCAAGGCCCCCAGTGGGTAGAATTTCATGGAGAAGATACTATACCTTGCATTCCCTTTCAAATCCTCTTGGCCATACCTTTCTCTCGCCCTTGCTGCTGGGTAGGACTGTGCCGGCCACCACCAGCTGCACCCATGTACCCCTTGCTGGTACCCACTGTTTGGTGCCCCAGGGAGCTTCTGAGGCTGCAGTGCAGGGCATCCACAAGACCCCAGTTGATGCACATGGACATGCAACCAAGAGGCTGGGTGCAACGCTGGGAGTGAATGCTCATGGAGCTACCCTGGACTGCCGGAAATAAATGCTTTCCTATTTCACACTGGGCAGACGGTTCTGTCAGGCATTCCATAAGCCCCTCAGAGGGCCCTGCCGTTGCCTCTAGCTGCTGCCAACCCCACTGCATAACCTTGTACTGATGGCCCCTCTCTCCTGCTCCACTCCAGGACCTGCACTCCTGCTTTCTGGGAACACTTCCCAAATAAACTACCTGCAAAAAGGCCTGGGATTCTGTTTTCAGGGAAACCAGGCTAATACAGGCTCCAAAGTGGGCAGAAGAAAGGCCAATTGAAGTCAGACAGGGAGTTGTCCTCCAGTGTTAGAAAAAATGGGTGTGTTTCAGTTCAAACCAGAAATAGGGATGTAAGTACCAGAATCATTACCGATTCACAGATCTGCCCTCACTATCAGAGACATGTGAGAAGTGAGACCAAATGAGGAAAGAGATGAGCCCCGTGTCTCCCACCTCGTAGTCATTTAGTTGCTCCTTTATTTCCTTATTCATCTAGCAGATACTTAGGAAGCATCTGTATATGCTAAGCCTGTTATAAGAGCTGAATATACAGTGCTGAAAAAGACTAAAAAGCTTAGAGCTTACTTCTAAAGAGAAAAGACGTTTAAGAAACTCCCAAAGGGAGACAGTCACATGTTGTATTGTGGCAGGTTAACATTCCAAGAAATGTCTTTATGCAATGCTGTCCTTGTGTGAACATCATAGCATGTACTTACACACCCTAGATCGTACAGCCTACTACACACTGAGGCTATATAGTACAGCCTATTGCTCCTAAGCTACAAACCTGAACAGCATGCTACTATACTAAACACTGCAGGCAATTGTAACACACAGCAGGAAGTTGCTCTGAGTGAGTCAGTGAGTGAGTGACGAGTGAACGTGAAGGCCCATGACACCACTGTACACTAACACTAGCGCAGAGTTTATAAACACTGTACATTTCGGCCACACTAAATTTATTTTGTAAAGTTTCTTTCTTAATAATAATCTTAGTTTACTGTCACTTTTTTACTTTATAAACTTTTACATTTTAAAAAACTCTTTGACTCTTTTGTAGTACTTTAAAAAACACCTTGTACAGCTATACAAAAATATTTTTTCTTTATATCCTCATTTTATAAGCTTTGTTCTATTATTTATTTATTTACTTTTTACACTTTTTTTTTGTTGTTGTTAAAAACTAAGACCAGGCTGGGCGCGGTGGTACGTCCCTGTAATCCCAACACTTTGGGAGGCCAAGGAGAGCAGACCACCTAAGGTCAGGAGTTCGAGACCAGCCTGACCAACATGGGGGAGCCCCATCTCTACTAAAAAATTCAAAAATTAGCCAGGCGTGGTGGTGCACACCTGTAATCTCAGCTACTCAGGAGGCTGAGACAGGAGAATCACTCGAACCCAGGAGGTGGACGTTGCAGTGAGCCAAGATTGTGTCAATGCACCCCAGTCTGGACAACAAAAGCAAAATGCCATCTCAAAAAAAAAAAAAAGACTAACACACACATTAGCCTGGGCCTGCACAGGGACAGGATCACCAACATCACTGCCTTCCACCTCCACAGCTCATCCCACTGGAAGGTCTTCAGGGGCAGTAACAAACATGGAGGTGTCATCTCTTCCGGTAGCAGTGCCTTACCCTGGATATCTCCTGAAGACCTGCATGAGGCTGTTTTACAGTTAACAATTTTTTAAATAAGTAGAAGTATACAAAAAAAAAAAAATGGTAAAAAATAGTAAATACATAAGCCAGTAACAGTCGTTGAATATCATTATCATGTATGTGTTGCACATAATTGTATGTACTATACTTTTATATAACTGGCAGTGCAGGAGGCTTGTTTACACCAGCGTCATCACAAAAATGTGAGTACAATGCATCATGCTACAATGTCTTAAGCCATAGGAATTTTCAGCTCCATTTTATAATGGAACCACCATCATATATGCAGTCCATCATTGACCAAAACGTCATTATGCGGCATGTGACTGTACAATGTCAGATTCATTATGTAGGATGATAAATCATGAGTCCTCCTTTCCTCTCTTCCTGCTTCCCTCCCTCTGCTGAACGCATTTACTTGAATTCCTATATCTTTAATGTTCATATCACAAAATTCCAATTTTAAGTAGCAAAGCAAGAACTAAAACCCAAATGCTCTGACTCTAAAACCAGAGCTGGCTGTTTGTTCGTCTGTTTCAAGCCCCACTGATGGCAGGCTGGTTGAATTTATGGCTTGTTGTTGATCTCTTAGGAAATGAGGAATCCGAAGGTGCGGGATGGGGTGGGCTGGAAGAGCACTGATGCTTCAGGGCAGAGAATCCTCTTGGCAGTGGATATGCTCCAGTCCCCAAGTAGTATTGTCTGCATCACGGTGCTGTAAGCAGAACCCTGTGTACTGTCCTCATCCCTGCTTCTCTCCCCAGGGCAGTGACGATCTGCCTGAGGATCGTTGCCAATATCCTGGTGCTTCTCTCACTGGCCGGGAGCATTTATCTCATCTACTTTGTGGTGGACCGGTCCCAGAAGCTGGAGCAGTCCAACAAGGAGCTGACGCTTTGGGAAAAGAATGAGGTACCCACTGCCATTACCAGCAGCACCCTTGAAAAGAGACACAGATGGGCACGGTGGCTCACCCCTGTAATCCCAGCACTTTGCGAGGCCAAGGCAGGTGGGTCACTTGAGGTCAGGAGTTGGAGTCCAGCCTGGCCAACATGATGAAGCCCTGTCTCTACCAAAAATACAAAAATTAGCTGGGTATGGTGGTGCACACCTGTAGTCCCAGCTACCCGGGAGGCTGAGGCAGGAGAATCGCTTGAACCCAGGCGGCAGAGGCTGAAGTCAGCCGAGATCATCCCACTGCACTCCAGCGTGGGCAACAGAG